AAATACACACTTCACCACTGGTGGTGTTTTTGCAGTATAACCAATTTGTCCAATAATTAGCCTACTGCAGACCTCTCTCCATGCAGTCCCTGACAAGTCACTACAGACTCTTTTCTTTGTGGCCGACTTAGAAAAATCTCTCCTCCTGGCTTAAGCTGATATTAAGCTTTTAGATATCAGGAAGAAAGGGAGCCACTCTGTTCACCTGGAGTGGATCACATTATTCTGACAGCCTGCAGTACTCCTCCATGACTGCTTTTCAGTGACCTCATTGAGATCTGAATTATAGATTAAAACCTTCACTGACATCAGGTGAGAGTCTGACCTGAAGAAGACAGGATGCACATAAAAGCACACCTCACTTACTCTTCCGAAACACAGCACCTGCAATCTGAAAACCGTAAATAAATAATGAGTTTGAATGCAAGGCAGTGCAGAATAAGCCACTTTTGACTCTTAGATCACTTTGATCTACTGTGTTTGCATTCGGTTGACTACCCTCCCTGATATAAATGAAGTGGACAAAATATTAGAAACTCCCCAGTGTGATCCAGGACACTTCAACAGCAAAAAAGTTGAATCAGCCCCTCAAACAGTTTCAACATTATAACCTTCATAAATGTAGAAATGTATTGCAACAATGCTGTTTGATTTGTCCTCTACTGTTACATTGTTAAAAGAAGAACAAGAGATCATACCGAATCAAAACAGTACTTGAGTATTTCTCTGCAAGTTCCCCCACCAAACACTTTAAGCAGAACTATCCGTTTGGTTTTACAGGTCATAGCTACATCATGCCACCACTGATGTTTGGGTCTACCCCTCGATTCCTTGTGTAGTTCTACAGCACTAATGTATAAGCATCCAGAAAACGACAAATTATGACTTTATCTCCATCACAGATACAAAGAGTGGCAGCTTTGCACTGATTACACGTTTGTAACAAGTGGCCTCTTCTCTCAGTTGCCTAATTAAGTTCCGAGGTGTGAGCCTTTGTTTTGATGTTGCAGTAGCCTGGACAGGCTGGTGACAAGGTTTACATCCACAAACAACAAGACAATTAGGCGCAAATTACAAGAGAAGCATAACTATGGCCTTTGCAGACATTACTCGTGAGAAAAAAAGCTTCTGCAAAAAGCAACAAATGGTTGAAAGTGTCTACCAGTTACCAGACAGTTACCATGTTTCATCAGACTCAGAGAAGCACAGTGAATCTAAGTCCAAGAGCTCCAGCTCATCCAGAACCGAAGGCTCGGATTCATCCTCCGCCTCCCACGCAGCAGCCACTCCATCCCCAGCGGTGTGCGGTTGGAAATAGTCGAAAGGCTCCTCCAGGGACGCGAATGACCCGAAGGACGACTGGCACAGCAGTGTGGGCAGCGGACTGGGAAGGCAGTATCCACCGGCGCTCCCGAGCACGCACACCTGGGTTGGAGACAGCACATAGGGGCCGCCTGTGCATCCGCTCGCCCGGGTCCGCAGCTGCTCGTTCTGCCGCTCCAGTTTCCGCACCAGCTCCTGCAGCTTCCTCACCTCCAACTCGGCGTTCAGGGTGTTGCTGTTGCAGTCCACCTCGGTCATTATCATGGGGTTCAGTACCGCTGCCTCCATTGGACCAGAACACAAAACTCGCGTTGTATTAGTCAGTACCCCACATCCAGTGTGGACCAGAAATGGAGGACAGGTGGAGCCAAGCTGCTGCTGCGGCGCTCCCGGCTCCCCAATAGCCCTCAGTCTGTTTTCTGTATTCGGTAACGGTAGTAGTCTAATCTGGCTACTACGCCTGTCTAGACTGTCACCCAATGGGAGAATATATGACTCCACCCCTCCACCACACACCTACACCTCCCAGCTTCCACTTCTCCAGCCCACATCAGATTAAAGGTTTAAAGCACACCTGCCACATTGTGGGCTAAGCTCCAAAACTGTGGTGGGTTTCATTTCAGTTTCATTTTTCAGATGTTTATCTTTTAGCATATGTTGCTTTGTAACAAGTAGATACACTGCGGGATAGTGATTACTATTGTAATATTGTAATCAATATCCGATCAATCGCTGCCCTCATTATTCCGAGTTAGATGAAGGTGTGTTATAATTAGCACGGACTCACCTGGTGGAACGTTGCATTTATGCCTATTTGGCGACATCGTATGGCCAAAGTTGGTTACAGCACTAAATGGGAAAGAAATGATCACGTTTAACAGTTTAATGCTGAAATGTGCACTAATTAAGTACAAAATCAATTAGGACGGCCCCCACCTTCCGTCCTGTAGCACTGGCCTTTTACAGACCCAGTATCCAAGTCTTACACTTATCAAAGTCTTTGTCCAGTTAGTACTAATCCATCACCCAAGTAAAGCTCCAACCACTATTATTACTACACCTACTGGATGGTTTTGTGGGTGGCTGGGAAAACAATAAACCCTCACGTCCTGTGGGGGTAAATATGGGGCCAACAATTTGATTTCCTGTAACCCCTAGCAGGTTAATCTGGCCGCTGTTGCATTATGGGTAATGTAGGTGTCAGATTGAGACAAGCATTAGAAATACATAAGATGCTTATGGTAGTTTTGCAACATTTTTTTATAATAAAAGCTGAATGTTAAACATCTGCAATGTTACATTGGTGAAATATGTGCTAAAATACATTATGCATTAAACACATTTGGATCATTAAGCATTAAAATCCTGAATAAACTTATTCCTACACTTAAAAGACATTTTCTGTTAAATGTTTCCTCCTGTTTATGTCTGTGTTTTGATTTTAAGCTGAACCAATACTGTATGTACTCTATGTTGGTATGTAGCCTAAAATATACCAAACTCATTAATACAGTTAAACTGAAATACATCAGAAAATGTGCAGAAAACATGAAATGGTTACAACCCATATATTTCTATACAATAAAAATGTAACCCATTGATTGATGAACTAAATGATAAACTCAGCTTTTTCATTTATTCCTTGACACACACTTCCATCTGGTGGCTGTGGGAGCACAATGCACCTTGTTGATTCTGGCCTGCATTGTCAAAACATGGCTGCCATGTGAGAATGTATGAAGCCTTATCAAAGAGCTTCAATGCTAGATACAAGAGACAGTCTCTGGGAAGAAAAGATGAATCATCTGAAAGGCGGCCAGTGGTTGCCAGACATCAGTCTGCATGTTTTGTACTTCTCCTCCACCTCAGCGTTTATTCCAGGTGAACTTCCTTCGTGCTCCCTCTTGTCCTGGCTTCTTCCTCTCTCTCACTCTTGGGTCGGGGGTCAGCAGACCAGCTGGGAATAAAAAAAAGGAACAGCAGATGAAAGGGGATGGAAAGAGGAGGAAATTAGAAGACAAAGTAGTGGCTTTGATGTCATGTCCACTATTGTACCCTGTTAGTATTCACAGACCAGCTGCTTTTCAGGTGAATATTTTCTAGTCTGTTCAACTGCATCCCAGTCATTGTGTCAATTATTCATTTTTATTGGGTTGTTTTAAGCCTTTTGGAGTTTCATCTATATCATTTATAGTTGTCTTTCTCATTATTTTTATAATACAGAAATAAGCCATACATAAACCCGAACTTTAGGTCTGAATGTCCTAATGCAATAAATAAATCCTAATCCTTATTCTAACAACTGAACTTGTATAGAACTCCCAACGTTGTTTCTCCACAGTATTTTCATGTTCAATTTTGCAATACTCTAAGTCCATGTTGTACGTTTTAGCACATCAACTACTATAGTGTATGTTCTGCATTGCTGCTGACCACTTGTAAAAGCCTATTCTACAGATTTAGACGGTTATCCCACCTTTAAATCAGTGTTTGGTTTCAAATCATTTCAGCTAACTATGAAAATAATTTGTGGTGTCTTGAACTTCAAGCAGGTTCTGTTATTAATTGTGGGTGCTTGATGAAACTGCCATCATCTGAGATTTGAGAGCTTGGCTGTAATAACTATGTTTTAATTGTGACCTGCTTAGGGACTGCAGACGAAAACTAGCTTTAAGCTAACTGGTACAATAAACCAAATGGAAACTTATGTTTAATACTGTACAAGTCCTTTGATACACCAAGGAAGACTTTGATTTGATTTGATTTGATTTGATTTGATTTATTCTTTTAAAAAATGTCCCTGTTGAAGTCACATAACTTTACAAATTGGAACAAATGTAAATTACAAATGTTTACCTTTAAGAAAGCAAATTAATCTAACATGTTTACTGTTTGAATTAAGTGTTAAATATACCCCTCTACATCTACTGTGCTTTCAAAAAGCAACTACCCACCTTGTCTCATATTCTCCGCCTCTCTCTCAGACAGAAAACTAAGCAGGGCACGAGAGGTGGCGAGTCGCAGTGCCCCCGCTTGGCTGGACCTGCCGCCGCCACTCACGGTGCACTCCAGGTCGAAGCGTCCCAGCATGCCCGTGAACTGGAATGGAAACATTAGCTGCTCTCTGAAAGCGGAGAAGGATCAAGAGAGAGCGAGGATGACATGAAAGAAGAGAAAATGACCAAGAGATTATTTTTAAAAAAGGAGGAGAAAGACTGAAACGTGGTTGGATGGGCAGAGCAGGAGTGTGCGCTATTTAACAGATAGTGGTATCAACAGCAGTGGCTTAGGTAATTTAATGTCTGGTTGGGTGCCCCTTCAGACAAGCACAGAGGATCCTGGCACTGTGAAAAGCTTTCTTTTAAAATCTCACCTCCGCATATTAGAATGAGTTCTGACTCAGCAGTGTGTGTGGGTGAGTGTGTGTGAAAAAGAAAAGTGTCTACGTTCTGGATGGCGTCTCAGGCTGAATGGCCTATGGCTGCTGACAAAGTCAATTGTCACCTCTCTGCTCCAATTACAGCCTGTCCTCACACTGCGTGACAACACCAGCTCTGGACATTCACTCACACAACACTCACACCAGACTCACACACAGACACACACAATCACTCAACTGTGTAATTAACTTACTACAAGGAGATAAATAAAAATGAGGCGATGCTGTGAAGAGTGAAAAAAGCAGCTTTTTAATTTTTGTTGAAGGTTAAAAAATGAGGTTTTTTATTTTTTTTTTTGGGGGGGGGGGGGGTAAAACACCACGGCTCACGTTTTAAGGAAAATAGCATCTGTGAATGAAACAGCAGAGCCTGGGAGGTGCAAACACTCACGCAGCTCTCCTACCTGTCTTGTAGGGTGGGGAAGTAGTGGAGATAGTTTTGGCCATTAATGGTGATGCATCCAGATCCACACTCTCGAAGGACCACAGAGCAGTTCGATGTCTTCCTGCAGCCTGAGAATGAACACAGAGCTCCTTTTTCTTATCATATACTACGACTCAAGAGTGACTGTAAATGTGTCTAATCAGGCATTTCTGGACATGCATGTAGAATGTTTAAGTGTCGAGCATTGCTTCCAAAATAGCAACAACAGGAAATGGAGGTTTCAGTGACAGGGTGACATCAATAAATATCTAGCCTCTTAGCAGCAAATGTCTCGTGTTTAGAGGACGAAACAAAGACACATTTGACCATAATTTCTATTGATTAGTTTGATGACATTTAACACATTCACCTTTTTTCTTCAAAATATGTTGGACTCAATTGGGGGTTTATTTTAAAACCTGAATAATTTGACTGCTCACTCTTTTCAGCAACCTGACCCACCTCAAAAATTAACTTGATGAAAACAAGGTTATCTAAATCAATCAAATAAGAGCTAAGTTCTAAAAACATTTTGGAATTTCCATAAACTTTCAGATGGCATAGTTCTATTTTGTTCCCAAGTTAAAATGATTCAAGCACAACATGTGTTAACTGACTGGATTATGGTTACTATGCACCACAAACCCACTACAATATCACAAGGGATTGTTTGCTTGTACCCAATCAAAACCATCAGGAGCCTGTTTCTCTGTGCAGGTTTCCAAGCATCTCATCATTCATGTTCTAGGCTTTTTTAAAGGATCTCCTGTCAAATGAAACAAGAATAAAATTTCAGCCAATATGGCAAATCCAGGGCATTTCACTTAGCTGGGATAGGATACATGCCTGGCTTGTAGTTTGGACAGCAATGACTAAATATGTGTGCTAGTGTGTATCTACCATCTGAAGTGCTGAAGGCCACGCCCCATTCATCCCTCTGCAGCAGTGGCACTATTCGCTTTGCGGACGGAGCCTCCAGCTGCCGGCGGTAACGCAGGACGAACTCCACCTCTGTGGCGCAATAGGGCAGGGAGAGCAGGCGCTCCATCAGCTGGATGAAGTGATTGTACTGAAGGAAACAACACACATCTCAAATTCTGTATCTTCCATCAGCTGAGAAAGTCAGTGGCAGATAAAAAGCCTGTTTTTACATCATGAGTTGATATGGTCTCCACCAGCAATGCCTCCAGTTCCTCCTTCGTGAACCACCGGCTTGTGCCTAGAGAGCTGATGGAGACACGTGTCAACATTCTCAGTGAGTACTGAAAAGGACTGGTATGTTTTTGGTGACTCATTTTCTGACACTGTGGTGTCAAACTGGAGCAATAAAAGTAAATAAACCAGTTTTCCAGGTATTTATTAACATGCCAAACCACTGAAAACTGCACCACAATTTCTGGAGGGTCTTGCTTATCTCTTTATTATCTCCATCTGACATGATTTAATCAGTATTGATGCAATAAACAAAATGTTCAAACTGAATTAAAATGCCCTGGTTTTTCATCCCTCAGAAGCAGTGTCCGGAAGACTTTCAGGGTAAAGCTGTTCTTCTACTTACATCTGCTTGACATCCTGAGAGAAGAGTCCTTTGGCTCTCAGATGATCTTGATATTTCTCTATCTTCAGCATTTTGCCGTACAATTCCTGAAATACACCAAAAACAACTTACAGATGTGAGCTCAAAGCCTCATGCCACAACTTTACAGAAAGCTTATGAGTAAATATTCAAAATACCGGCTTCAATTACTTTGGGAAGTGTTCAAACTTAAAAATAGCTGGATACACCCTTTGTATGTACAAATGATGATTACTGAATAGATTTAATTTTACATGAAAAAGCTCCACAAAGCCCCAAAACATTCTGATGTGCAGATGAGGGGAAGGAATGGCTGTTTAAATTTGGTGTGTTTAAGATAACGCTGTCAGAAAACCCTGGAAGACAAGGGAAGCTAGATTATTTACTTAGTACTGATCTTGATTTCTGAGGGGCACGATAGTGGAGGTTAGTGCTCACAGCAAGAAGGTTCTGGGTTCAAGCCCCGACTGACCCGGGGCCTTTCTGTGCATTTTGCATGTTCTCCGTGTTTCAGTGTGGGTTCTCTCCAAGTACTCTGGCTTCCTCCCACAGCCCAAAGACATGCAGCTTAGGTTGGTTGGTGACTCTAAATTGCCCCTAGAAGTGAGTGTGTGTGTGTCTGTCTGGCCCCTAGAAGTGAGTGTGTGTGTGTGTCTGTCTGTAATTGTCGGCCCTGTGATAGACTGGCGACCTGTCTGGGGTGTAACTCGCACATTGTCAGCTGGGATTGGCTCCTGTTCAGGATAAGCGGTATAGATCATGATCAGACCATGGATGATCTTGATTTCTCTGGTATTGTGTAATAATTTGGTTTTGGCCAGCGTTTTATGAATGTGGTTGCAGACAAAGACTATGTAAACAATGTTCAAGTTGGTTTTCTTTATTTTGGGGTTTCTTTTGTAGCACTAAGGAAAAAAAAAGAACATACAGCATTGTGGATCTGGCTTACATGATTTAACGGTGCCATGTGAGCCCATGATACATGATTGTGTATGTATTTGGCCTGAAGCAAAGCTAGAAGGAAACCTGCTGGAGCAAAAACAAGAAACTAAATAAATGACAGGACAGTTTCAGGGCTCTCTCGTCATTAGATCAACTTCCACTGGGGATAACCTGAGGGGAGTGTGTCACGGCGTCGGGCACAGACAGACAGAGAGAGGGTGGGGGAGAGGGTGAGCATGCTGGTCACGTCCCCGAGGCAGGACCCCCCCAGCGCCTGGGTGAGAACTCATTTCCCTGTCAATTATTCACCAGATGTTTGTTTAATTCCTTCTTGATAGAGTGTGCCTAATCCGCTGCCGCTCGGACCAGTGCAAAAAAAGCAAACATCAAGCAAAAACCAATTTTCTTTGGGGGAAAAAAATCATAATAGAAAATCAGAAAAAAAACGTGGGAGGATTTGGAGGAGAGGTGGGGAGCATGGGTTACATGTTTGCAAACACCGGTCCGTACAATGGTGAGACTAATTTGCATGGATTGGCCGGATGAAAGGAGAGGACAGAGCCAGTATCTGGGTACATTTCAGTCCAGGCTGTTACAGAGACAGACAGTAAGAGGTCCACTCTTTCTATTCAATAAGTAGGCTTTACATGCATGGCAAGACCTTCAAGTTTCCAGCTTTAGCTATAAGAGGAAAAAGAATACAGTGAAGCATTTCATTGGAGTAGTTTAACTGAAAAGCAATAATACAGGATGAAAATCCAAAGCCAATGGCTCTAGCAGAAGATCTTCTCCTCAGGATTACGTATTTATTCCATGTGGAGGTATATACAATGGTAAAGTGAAGGGGGAAGGTGTACTGAGGGTGTTCTCAGGTTCCCTGGGGTTGTGGCCATAAAGAGCAGTGAGCAGGTTAATGTACCACACTGGCTGAACTCAACAACAGCCAGAAGAAAGCAGCCGAGCAGCAAGCCTGCTTCACATGCCACCGCCCCCTCCTGGCGACACTCCCGAGGTGTGTGTGTGTGTGTGTGTGTGTGTGTGTGTGTGAGCCAACT